AACTGTTTGGACTGTGTAATATCTTTGGTCACAGTAGTCAAGTTTTTCTGATAATTTTGTTAATGTGCTACACACAAAAGTTTGAGTATATGTATATATTACATAAAATTGTGAACTAGTGGCCCTTATGTTATAACTTATCAACACTAGAAGACAATGGAACTTATGGAAAATTACTCTATATTTGAAGCTGGAAAGTCACTAGAATAGCTATTGTAAAAGAATCACAGTAACTGTCTTCTTAGATTTTTGGTTCATATGTTCAGAATTGTGTACAAATTGAAAACTCTACATACTAAGTAAACATTATTTTCAATTATAAAAAATGCATCACTTCTATTAATCCATTGAGTCATTTATGTCATTAATACAATTAACACTAATCAAGCCATAGATTTTCTAAGCCTTGCCAAAATTAAAAAAGATCTTTTCTTTAGGTTAGACTGAACTTTGAGTCCTTAATTTTAACCAGACAAAGAACAGAAAGTGAAACTTGTCCAAACTATAACCTTCATTTAATCTCTATCAGGTACAGTAACCAAAGAAATTTAGACCTTTCTTGCACTACTTTCTGTCTCCTTCTGAGGAAGATATTCAACAAAAGTAAAACAGTCCTGGACCCAGATCTGGTGAAGGCACCAAGATAATGGGGTAAAAGTCCTAAGGCAGTTCAAGATATCCTAATCAATGTTTAACAGGCCTTGTCTCACTTAAGTCTCACGAGGGCAATTATTATCTTAACTATTTAAGATCAGAGGTCAAGGATGTGAGAAGTTAAGAAAATGTCCCAACACAAAATGGAGGAGTTGGATCTCAGAGCCAATCTGTCTGATCTTTATCACCAACTCCCCTGCTGCCTGACATCTCCAGGGCTTCCTGAGAAAGGCTGTCTCCACATTCATCTTCCTCAGGAGAGTCCTGCAAAGCCCCCTGGACAATCAGCTGGAGTGTCAGCCACTACAGATGGCCCTGCCTAAAGGAGCCAGTGAGGAAGTAAAGGATGTGGTTGGTGGAGATGGAGACACAACTGCCACCAGTTGAGAGGACAGGAGAGATGGAAGTGGAAGAACATATGACAAGAACATACCCAAGTCAGTCCCAACCCAGGTTACTAGGAAACCTTGGATGCCTAAGGGAAGAACACAAAAAAGAAAGACAACCACTGTGAGCAGGATGGTCATCAGCCTTTGCCTGGACCTACAGAACATCCTGACCAGTAGGGCCAAGCTAGACCCAGAGATATCAACAAATAGAAAAGTCAGCCAAGGGGCTGTGAAGAAATCAAATGCCTGACACCAAAAATAATCAAAATCATTAAATAGATGGTGACACTGGTATCCTTCCAAGGTGCTAACCAGCAGGGACAGGACCCAGAGTATAGCACACATGACAGCTAACGTGTGTCTAGGGCAGTGGCAGTGGTACCAGATAGGCCACAGGACAGACAGACAGCACTCAGCACTAATGGCACTGAGCATACTCAAGCCTTCAATGT